GCACCTGACCTTTTGAAACAAACCTTTCTTTGCCCAAGAGGGACGATTGTGAGATTATTTTTGGGAAAGTACATTTTCAAAAGCAAAAATGCCCAACCAACTATGGCTGTATAGAAGAATAGAGGTTATATTTATTTATAGAGTATACTAAGCCTATTCATTTCGCAATTTACTATATAAATCCAGTCCTTTTGACCAATGGATTTCGACTAAGCAATGTAACGGACTGGTATGGACAGATTTGTTAATCTATGGCATAGCTGTGCAGGCTCTGTTGACGATGATTAACTTGGGCTAAGGCCATGTAGCGCTCAGATGGCAATATAATTGTCTATTTATTCAGTTAATAGGTAGTATTAAAGAGTAAGAAGCTTTGTACGAGATTGACGCTAGGTCTGTTCTGTGCTGGTCGGAAAGACGCCGTTAAAATCTACTTAAAATGTTTGTTTCTTTAGAAGACACAGGTTTTAAAAGCAATTTGTGTGGTGTTGTCTATTAGCTGTACACAGTAATACTTCGACAAACACGAGACGTATTCACAAAGCATCTTCGCAATACTAAAGCTAGGCATAGCTGTTTATTTGTTTGTATAATATATAAAACTATTTTTCCAAATTGAGCAATATGGAATATCGGGATATTGACTGCGCTAACTATGAATGATTTCCTCATTAATAGAGTGTGGTCAAAGAGTGACAAATTACCTAAATCACTATTGAATTTCCGAATATAATATTAGCCCTTTCTTGCGCTCTGAAGTTCTGAAGTAAATAGAATTAACCTTTATATGACTGATCTGCCTTAGAAGATTACTGTTAGAGGGATAAGAAAAGAGCGAGATTTTCAAGCTGCAAATTAGACGAGAACAATCATATATAGAAAAAAATCACAAATAAGCTCGTCGCGTCCGCCCAACACCGTTTACACTTATTCTTCACTAATATTTGCTCCTAGTGATAACAATAGCCTATTCTAAAAGTTGACGTTCGTGCCATTTCTTGGTGGGGTGGTGAAAGCTGCGCGCCATGTCTGCCCCTCGTCATTTCCTATCCCGTTCTTTCTTGCCTCATCGGAGCCTGCTTCTACATTACCTTTAATCATTTCTGCTAGTAACGGGCGAGCGTTCATGGTGTAATGGATCTTGTTAAGCGATAACAAGTAAACGCAACCTCATCACACGTGCGAATCTCGCGGAATACACCGTGCCTCGTTGATTTTTCCCATTAACTTACTTATGTCAAGGCAGAGTTAACTTTTTCCGCAGAGTTGAAGTGCTATACTGAGCTGAGCGTTGTATCGGTTGCTTTGTGCCATGGGGGGTAACGGTCCATGGGGAAGATCAAGGTCCAGAAAAAAGAGACGGGAACAACCAGAGGGCAACGAGGTATTGTATGATGCGTAATCAACACACATCATTCAAGATAACACCTGCAGCTTAATTGTGTTTTCGTAATAACGGTATGCTTCTAGGTACGGGGTAATCAAAAAAGTGGTTACGTAAATCCGCGAGGTAGACTGGTTTCCGGTGATTGGTTCTTAGCACATGGCGATTCAGTTATTAACAAATTATTGTATATAAACAAATAACAAGTTATACTTGATTAGAAATCAGTGGCACAGGTGTAGGAACTGTTACTTAGACTTCTACCATTTCAACTTCAACTACTCATTTCTTGCTTAGAGGTATAGCCGGTGTGATTAAGTAGGGAATTTCGCCTGATTACTAATATCCACAAAGATGACAACTGCAGCATCATTAGGGAAATATGAAATATGCGAAGTATTGTGCCACTATAGTTTGAGGCTGCCTGTTCGAAACTTAGTTCTCCTTTTACGAGTGAAGCTTTCATTAAACACTAGTTTCGAAGTAACATCTTTCCTACAGCATTGTTCCGCAGTTGCAAAATATATTAAACAGGACATGCGTAAATCACATGTAGACCCCACTCGTTTTTTTTTCAGAACTGACCGTGGTCAACAGAGAATCGCGATGCTTAATGAATGCCGCAGTCGGCGAAACGTCTTCAGCTATATGCATCGATTACACTGTGAAAAGTCAGAGCGTAGCACCTATCACTATCGTTGTCATAGCGAGATAGGCACCTAGCCAAAAAACTTAGACACAGCGGTCCACTCAAATTCTAGCAGTAAATCTATATTACTTTTTACTATCTTCTGTCATCTCTTGCCAAAAATGTTCATTGCTGTAGTCGAAGGATTCGTCTCCCAGGATTTTAGGATTTTTTTCACTATCCCCTACACGGTTGCTAATTGTATTTGCCAGAGATTAGAAAACGTGGTAATCACGTAGGTTCGAAACCTGAAAAGTACGGCTCTTGGAGAAGAACTCGAGCTCGAGATCTTACGCGGTGGCTTTTACATCTTTGCCAAATGCGGCTTGGCATTGTTGCGGAGAAGAGTGACGTTGTCTTGTCGGATTGTATAGCCTCGTTTATCCGACGCCAATCATGCGTATACAGGTTCTTGTTGGCCATCTTGCTCTTTTCAGGAATCTTCCAGTGTATGGGACCCTTCTAGGCCTATTAAATCCAGTTTCGGTTTTTTTCGGAGACTGGTCTAACTTAGACCGTAGATGTATCTCCCGGAATTACCTATTGTTTGTTTTTCTGTTTCATATCGACGTAGAAATACCACTTCTCGTCGCCTTTAATAATTCCTTGCAGAAGCTTGTCTTTGCAGCTGAGGATCCCCTGTGTCGGGGAAACGGTTAAGGGTCAATAAGAAGCCGTATTTCCGTGCATTGCACACTCAAACGTCGAATTTCTAATCAAATGTCATACATGAAATATGCCTGAAATAATCCGACATTTTCAACTGGTAAGTTACAGAGACCAATGAGGACCCCGGACAGCTGATCACGGTGGAATACATTCTTCAGGTCTAAGGTTCTATTTTTGAAATTTTTGAAATTCTACCGATAGAATATCCGAGGTTATTTGATCAGCACTTCAAACTGAGTCGGAGACAAAAATACATTTGTTAACCTCCATTTTCAGAGCCCGAATAAAATTTTATTTACTGTTGAGCCAAATTAACAGCAGCATACAGCGGAAAGAAGGAATGTACAATCGGATAATGTAAAAAAACGAGTCAACAATGGAAAGATAAAGAATGGGAACTAAACTGGATCACCACCTGTATTCCAACCTGATACAACAGCTGACTCAGTCTCAAGTTAGCGTCACAGTTAATTATTCTGCTCATTACTTCCTGGCCGTCCGTTGCTCTGCACAGGCCATAGGCCCAACCAGCAAAGCGGGCTCAAGGTTGTGAGATAGGTCTTTTATACTGTGTTTTCCTTATCGTACAATCATATTAGCTATTGAATCAATGTGTAGCCAACATATTTTTCTCCATAAATATACAGGTTCAACGAACCCGTCTCAATCAGTCAACAACTGCTAACTAAATCGATAACCTCTTAGCTGATTAGAATTTTAGCTATAGTAAAAGCTAGCTCATCTTTTGAAACGATGCACGCATGTATATATTTATCTAGATTATAATGTTACGGCAAAATGTAACGAAACCCTCGACATTAAGTCATCATCCTATAGAAACCGATAAGATGATGCTGATCGCCTGCCATCCGGTTTCTACCAGATACATCAATGTGTGAAGTGCTTGGCGCTATCAGCTGTAGTCTCTTAGTCTTCATCCTGATCTCGTCAGTGTGTCTGGTAGGCGGCTCACGTCGGTCTTCGTAATGCTTCTGCTTTCAAACCAAGCTAAATCCACACACATCCCTTTTCTGCCGTTTGGGGGTACGTATATGGCTCTCAGTGGCACTCTCATCCAACCCACTGCTCTGAAGAGTGTCGTTACGCGGTCAAAATCTCTAGTTCAACTTCTTCGGCGCCACACTTGTTGTAGCCGCTAGACCGGGTGCACCAAGCCAGTTCTGCTCGTGGCCTTTATGGTAGTCTATCCAAGTTTCCCGCTATACTCCTCACGCAACAGCTCCAATGGAAAACCTGTGCTCTCAGCAGCTAAACAGTGCAATAAACAATTTTACAAAAATTTCGATTTGGTCGAAAGCTGCCGAAATCGCACTTTTGCGTCTTTGTCAGAGCATTATCAATATAGTTCGTTTTTTGAACTCTAATAGCAGGAGATTTTGCTGCACTTTATATATGTCATACTGTTATGTGTTGATAAGATGAAAAAGAAAATGTGACAGGTCAGCAAATACTGGCATGGTAATAGTGATTTTGAGTAGTAATACCATCGGTTGAATCCTTTAAGAGAGGATGTCAACCCATGATGCACTTGGGGTGGTGGCTTTATCATTAAGATTAATTACTTTCAAACACAACGCTGCGTACAGAGGGTAGGCTAAACATAATAACTGTCATTAATAGTCAGGGGGGTCAGTCACAAGTAACCCGTAAGTAATTATGAACTTTACCGAAAAAAACAAATGTTATGATGTTGACTCAAAATGTCTTTCATAGTCCAAGAGTGGCTGAGCAAATGTATACTATACAACAATAAAATGCAATAAAATTGCGCCAGCTTTCCTAAGAATAATGTGTTTTTTTTTTATTTAGCGATCAACTGTATGGTTATTATACTCACAGCCACGATCGTTGGAAAAAATGTTTGTAATTGTCAAAGAAGCGGACTTCGTATTTCAAATATTAAATGCCTATTGCAGGCACTGAAAATAACAACATGATACTATAATATAACGTCTTAATTTGATCAAAAAGTACGGCTTGGACGCAAAGGGGCTACCACAGAGAGTCTTTAGGCTGTTGGTGTGGGTAACCTTCTCGATGTTAGCATGTACTATACGCTCGTCTATGTCTAATGCTAACAAAAGTACACCCATGAAGCATCATAATACCTAAGCTACTATCCCACGCCCGTTGCTTTTCACCATATTGTGATGAAAAGTCTACTTTTCCTCCTCAATTCCTTTAACGCTAGCCCACCGTCCCAAACTACTCTAGCGTTGCCTGGTTGCTTTCACTTACTTGGAACACGGCCGCTTTTCGTCGTTGGGAAATCTTCGCCAACTCGGAGTCAAGCAATTCTATCATCGCAAGCAGCAAGCGGGCGGCCCAAAGTCCAGGCAACCGGCGTTGTCTGTAGAGCGTCACAGAGTTTTGGTGAGAAACTTTACGAAACGCGCCCGCGCGCCTCAGCCAGAGTGTTCCAGATAGGACCACAAAGAAGAAATTGAAGATATCCTCATGGTCCTTTCCTCTGACACGTGCTCACTGTGCATGCTCACTCGACGAACTATAAAAGTTTCATTCGCGTTTGGAACCGGCCGGAAAGACCAAGAGGGGATGAAAGGGGACACTGGCTTTCTCCTTTGAGAAATTATGCTTGCACTCGTTCCGACACGCCTCAATGGAAATGCAGAGGCCGTAAGACGCTTTGAAGCGCTGGCTGGAGGCAAACCCATAGCACCAGTGGAGACAACAATGGCAACGACAAACGCTAAAAAATTAGTAGTAGTAATAGCAATAAATGATAATGTTATTAAATGTCAAAATGATGGTTGCAGAACATTTGTTCTCTTAGTATTATTATAAATAACTATTATATAAAAGTGAGAGGCTTAGGTGTCCTCTATTTAAATCGTGAAGTGAGTGCAAACTTAGCATTTGAAAGAACGAAAACACTTCTATGGCATTTAAGTAATGGACAAAACCAACAGGTAGTAAATAATAAAAATGTTTTATGCCGTTGGAAGAAGGATTTTGCAAGATATATTGCGATGGCAAGGCGGTATGTCAGCGGAATCTGCTGTCTGTACTTTAGATTGACAATAATCATTTAATATGAAATATTTGCATTGGTTGACTGCTCCTATTTAGCCCTAAGCCTATCGATACTTCTTATATGAGAAATCCTTGTTGTTTTTATAAGTCAATGTAGATTCGCGAAGAAGATACTTAAATGTGCAAAATATAAAAAAAAAATTGACAAGCGGTCAAATTGGACGCTAGCGGTAGGTTTAATGTTAATACGGCTGGGTAAGACTAAACTCGTGGTTTTGAAAAATAGATTCTAATCAGCAAAAAACATCCCTGCACAGTTGAAACCAGATTTTGTGTAAGCTACATTTTTAGTATCTGTGAAACCGGCGATGTTTCTTTTGTGCAGACCTTTCATAACTTTGACAAGTTATGACAACTCACCCTAATAGAAGAACGTTTTCTTATCACTACAGCAACAGCCATAATAAAAAACAAACATATGTACTTTGCATGGTCGTAAAGTATTCATAATCCATCAAGACCGTGCTTCGTCTCTTTATATATGAACCTATGAAAGCAGCAGTATTTTTTGTCAGCTCAACTGTTGGCCCTTCCCGAAATAGTTCTGTACTATCGAGTCATCTGAAATCGAAGGAGAACCCTTCTTTAGACTAGCGGTTGTAGACATACCCGTACAAAAACGTTTACTTCGATTTCTTGGATCTTATCATTTTCGGAATCGTCTGAAAAAAGATGTATTGTGGGAGACATGTGCTAAAACTATCTAAAAAAGACCACACGAGACTCATTCAGCCGCTCGTAGATAACATCTGCTTCGTCCCAATTGAGTCTCAAATGAGGAAAAACGCATTTGAGTCGGCCGATCTCGCCTAGTTAGGCTGAATTTTATTTTTTCGGCTAGCGCGAGCGTCATAATAAAAACAACATTTACATCTCATATCCACCGTATCATGCCGAAGGTTTATTTTATGATCGACACTAACTTTTGTTATGAATAGACGACGAGTTATCTTTCTTTAAAAATGACATCCGTATTCTACCCAGTTTTCGTGTCTATTCTAAGAAGACTAAAACCGATAAACAGCCTTGTCATTTACAGTCAGACAACATAATTGATATAATAAACATTGTGAAGATGTTTGCTATTACTCAAGCTCTATGCGTGTGTCATTCGTCGAACGTAGACTAACCACTTTAATTCACTCCAGATGTGAAGGAAGTTCATAGACGTTTGGTAGCAGGAAAACTGGAAGTTGTACCATTAGCAACAAAAATCTTTGCCCTGCATGTATTCATCTGCCCTTTGTGAATCGATTTAGAACATTTACATATGTGCTGATACTACGGATGCTCCCGTTTCGTTTAGTCGAGATGCTGTTTTCCGGGCATCACTACACAGTTTTCCATAGACAGGCAATAATGAAGTCTGTGAGAAGCGACCTTACGTACCTGATTTCAATGTCCGCAGGTCTTTTTTCTGTCTTTTCCAGCCGTAGTTTTTCGTAACCTCAACGCATCGCATAGGTCTTCCTTCGTCTGCGTCCATTGTCGCGTTACTATCTTTCATAGCAGAGAAGTAACAGCTCTTCGATAGTGGTACCGCCAGGAGGTGGTGATTTGAGAAGATCCTACGTTGCCCTATGTGCGCAACGCCTGTCGATAAAGTATACTATCACCTATCTAATACGCGTCAAAAAACACGCTGAAGGCGGGAGTGGGAGAAAGAAAAAGTAGTGCCACCGAAGGACATGCCCTCGGAAAAATAGATGGATAGAAAATATAACCGGAGAAAGCATTGCGTAAAGTACCATAAACGGGTAAGCCGAGTCTAGCTAAATAAAGTACGATGTACTTGTCAGTGTTGTTGCCATCCAGCTGCTATGCGCCTATGTTCTCAGACTTTTGCACATGAGCGCTCGTTTACTTGCCGACATGCCCTTGCTCTTTCCGTGTTTCCGCAGTGAAATTGGGTTATAAACGACTGTGATATACCATACCAGAATCCGATGCGTACGGCACGACAGATGTGGGAATGTTATACATACGCCGATATGCAGATGAGGTTCGCTTGTAAACCCTTTCCCTTTTTATCTACCTCTCTCGCTTTCACTTTCTAGTCCACCTTTCGAGCTAACGGCCATGAGCAATAAGGGCATCTGCACTAAAACAGAGCATACGCCGAGGCAATAACGCAAATATAAACAGGGTTTTTGATGCGCAGGAACTACAGAAGGCACTATAACTGCTATTTTAATACGAAGAAGTAAAGATAACCGTGTATTAAAAGTGCAGTGAGCAAGGACGTTGGATACGCCGATGGCTGGCTACGTTTCATTTCATAGTGTGTGTGGCAAAATAAGACTGATATTCCTAGGTTTTCATCATAGGGCAAGCATGAATCTAAAAACCGTTTTTATGCTTAGGAGCGCTTATGAGGCTGACCTAACTGAACGTATTCGAAACAACTACTAGATTCCTTCTTATGCTCTTTGAATGAAGTTTTAAAGGAAAATGCGACTCAAGATGACGCGATTTCCACGTGCTCTCATTGACGTACTCACAACGGCAGGTAGCCGGAAGTGGTCAGTATAGTTGTAAAAAAGGAGTTGCCAAGAAGATCGCACCAGTCTTAACAAAAGGAATAAAATTTCACTCGAGAAGTTAATATCCTAGAGTTTCAAATGGATATTTATCACAAGCAAAGTGGATGAAGTACGCGCCTGCGCCGTATCGACTAGCCATGGTCAACTCGTCTAATCTCAGTCAGCTAGTATCGAAATTGTGATTTCAGACATCACTACCTTGACAGAAGCCAGTCAACACAGAAGTGGCGCCTGCCTTCGGTACTTCCAAATCTAAAAACAATCTTGACTCAAGGACAGAGTAAATATATCGGCCCGAGAGGCACTCCTTGCGGTGACAAACCATGCGCCGTCCATCGCCACCATCGGTCGCGAAGCGGAGGCCAACGCCGAGAGCTTCCTTCTGCAAGTTGCCCAGACGGACTATGGTGAAAAGCTATATAAGGCGGCATTATGTAATGGAATGTAGAGGCAGTAACTTGGGGCTTACGACTGCTATGATTTCTACTTTCACAGATATCAACATCATCATATTTACTGAAACCTCGGAGTCAAAGCTTCCTAAACAGTCAGATTTCACGCTACCCACTTTCCTATCCGTTTCTGCAGCGTGCAGGGTTGCCCTAGTGGCGGGGCTTCAGTGCTTCATAACTAAAAGCTGTAAAGCAATCTCTGTAATATTATCGAACCACACAATATAGTTTGCAAATGAAGAACACCAGGCCACCAAAAATCGCGGCTCCATGCGGCCTAGATATTGACACAAGTCGGCATTTTGATCAAAGTGCTGATACCGTAGACCTACCTGTAAGTTACCCGAGACCACGCTGACGATGTCCATTGGCTAATGCGACTTGTAAGCTGGTCTCTGTTGCACTGGGTAAGATAAGAGAACATTAAGCTACCCTGTAACTCCCTGAAAAGTTGGTATACGTGAGAATTCGAATCGGCGATACCTCGCGCTGTAAGACGACTATCTAGTGGTACACGCAAGTAAGAAGTCATGCAAACAGCTGCACAAACTGAGATTAGTATCATGCTCTGCGAGAATTGCCGAAAGTGGACTTCTCCATGTCTAAAATGTTGCATTTCACGCGCTGGTCCAGTCAAACAAGGTGGCAAGTGTAGACCTGATCCACAATGAAAGCTTGAACAGTGTGGCAGTGAAAGTTCTTTTGCTGCACAAGTCTATTCAATGTGTGCTCGCAGCATCGATGCCTACAACTAAACTGCCTTCGATGCTTCGTCCTCAAATGAAAAAGCAATCCGCATAACCCATCTTCATCGATGCGGAAGGCAATAGGGAGGAAAAACTGTTGCTACTAGCTTTTTTCTCACCTTATCATACGGCACCTGACGAAATTTCTGAAAAGCTTGTTCACGTATCCCTACTGAACAGCACAAATTTAAGGAGGACGGAATGTGAGTTACGACTTCGGGGGCTGTTTCGTGTTGTTTGTCGACCAAAAGCGACGCTCTACATCGTTTTCGTAAATTTTAAAGCGGCATTTGACGGCGCTTTAAATTTTACGGCGCCTCTAGATAGGATTTTAGTAAAGCTTGTACAATGTGGAGTCCGTTAAAAGAAACATGCCGTTTTTGCAAGGAACGCTTGTTACCATATATGATTAAATGTCTCAGCTTGAACTGTTCGACCAGTCAACTAGCGTGGGTGATAATCTAAGTCTACTGCTTTTCTTTCTGTTGAATAATCTATCGCTCCGCGTTCAAGAGTCACCGGGACATGTAAAGAAGCTACCTTACGCCGACGATTTTGTCATCTTTCGAAAGAGTCGGTTATGTATCTAGTGAGCTCTTGCGAAGCTCATGTGAGTGAAGTGCGACTGGGAATCAACATGGACAAGAGGGAGGTCATGAAATTTCGTCGCGGAGGCCACCTCGTTGCTATCGACACGCTTCATATAGGCAAAACGGTCTGGCAGTTAGGTATGATTTTACCGAAGAACGGCCGAGACTTTGCAGAGAACATGGATGGAGAACGATGAGCAAGTATACAAACTTTCTCCGGACTTTCCTCACCAATGGCGCTAACCCATTCTTAACGAGAGATCTTCCATTAGCCTGTTCGATATTAACGTGGCTTCGTTAACGTCCCACGGATTTCAGGTTGTGTAGGATCACTTCTTCTCGGCATAACTCAAAAAAAAACTATTGAATCATACGTGCGTTCCTAAAACGCGCCACGTGATTGCATTGCTCGTCGTTGGACACATATGTACGCCTTCTAGACAATGCACCACCTTTTGTCGAAACTCTGAAGTACAGATTCAAACTTCCCGCCATGTTCGCTTATTTGACCATTATTACATTGAAAAAGAAGATAACGAAGATCGATCCCGATTTTTATACTACAACGGGAAGGACCGATAAGGCCTTTAAAGGAACTAACAAAATTAGCCGACACGTTTTGTAGTACATAGGTTTTATCTCGCCTTATGCGGTACACGGAGTTTTTATTTGCCAGGCGCTACGTACGTCGGTACGACCTAGCATGTACATTAGGTACATCGCGGCCACAGGTAATTTTAAATACACATTCTGAATGCGAGCTGGTGTTCTACTATGTACGATATAGTAGAGTATAAAACTTCGTATGCATAATCCGTAGTCATTAATGGCGCTGCAGTTAATGTACTTAGGACGATTTGCAGATGAGCACCCGTTCTAACCGGACACACCGACTCCGATATAATAACAGTGTGCAGTTATATCTACCTGTGTAAAGACATATAATTATTCAGAATTATTAATAAGACCAATCAAATGCTCACTCTATATCATGCACATTACTCTGTTAATTATTATATTAACTTCCATTTGCGTTTTTCCACACGTAGTCGCGATTGGTGACCGTTAAGGTTTCATTCATAGTCTCGAACCGTCGAAACAGGACTGAGTTAGAAAGTGGGCCGAGAAAAATCTCGATCGATGCGGATGGCGAACAAATAAAACACTGCTGTAGAAAGGACGGGGACAAAGTTCAAAGTTTTGGTCTTTTCCATACTTTATAATTGGGCAGCATTCTTTCTGATTAGCGGGCCCTTTAGTGTACCTTCTTATTTAGAATATGATCATTATTATCGTGTCCATTGTTGTAAGGAGCATGGACCTTTTTCACTTGTATGTTCGACCTGCAATGGCCTTGGAACTTGAGACCGAAGTACAAAAGTGTTTTGGTCGAAGCTGTTCGCATTTGGGCTTATGACTCGGCTCACGTATGACAATGTCGTCACCAGGGCACGCTGAGATTTGTGTACGTGCATCTGCGTTTGGGCGTCAGGTAAGGATTGTATAAATATGCGAAGTTTTGTAAGCTACTCGGGTTATAAGATTAGAAGTTTGCAAATGGGTCAAATTGCCAAAGCTGTGTCAATGTCAACTTTGGGCGTCAGCTCAGATTTCAGGAGACGGCCTACGCTGCTGAACTATTATTCCATTGCATAGAGCTTTGTATAGTTACAGTCGTTGTTATTGTTGCTATAATTCGTAATGATTGACAGCACTGTATAGGACATATTTAGGACGACTATTCGTGTTTTATAATTTGCGACCGTCGTTGCTGTTATACCACTGCTTAGGCTAAATCAAAATGGCGATAAAAACATGTTTTTCAGCAACAGGTGACTTTATGTCGTGAGTAGTGTGTTTTTCGCGAGATATAATCCATTCCAAACTTCGTTTTGATATGTGCGTAGAGAATCTGTATAATATGTGTGATTTGTTTAAATAAATGGATAATCTGTCTTAATTTGAAATGGAGTACCAATAGCTGCAGTCCGTAGCTTTCAGAACGTCAAAGGGTACCTGCGGTGGCATAGACGATGACAAGGCCACCCTAGCTTATATCATATAGCTTTCTTATTGGCCACTAATAAGGACACGTTTTGCATTTTTTTTCTGATCTGTGCGCTCTTTCATCAGTCTCATAATGATCAGGTACTCCTTCAGTCTGATTTTGTTTTTCGTCAAATATTGGTTATTTGCTGACTCACTGATTTGATATGACACAGAGGAACGTACCTATTTCGATTAGTTTAATTAGATATATTTATACCGGTAATAACCACTAAACCAAATTAATCACACCTTAAAAATATAACGGACTCATCAACTACTCAGTTTATTCCTCTAGTATTGCCATGACCACGCTTACGACAGGCCGCTTGCACGGGTACTGTGAATTGATCAGCTGTACTGAGATAATTTAAGCAAATTTTAGAGCGGTTATGTCGCTTGATTTTGTCCTTCTTTTGTCGCTGGATTGAATGTCTAGAGGGGGGCCCTTTCTGTGAAGGATCGCACTCGATCTATTTTAGCATAGTCTGCCCTGCTACCCCGAAGTAGCCATGCTTTGCTGTGAAGAATCTCTCTTTTTTGTGCACCAGCGCCATTTTGCTTTCGGTCAGACAGCTTTTCATAGAAAACGTGCGTCGCGTGTGAACGTCGCGTTTGGAGACCAATCGCCTCCGCTGCTGCCCAGCGTGGAGTCGACACGTTACGAGGTTATGCACGCATAAATAGGGAGGCATAGACTAGCATGTATGTATCGCAGCCCGCAATGAATATTTTCGATGACTACAGATGCTGTTAGTATTACCAGCGCTCTGAGCACGGGCATAGGCGAGTACGGTTATACCAACTCGAGAAGCTGGAGAAGTCAACTGTAAGAAAATATAAATGGCTTTATTTGCGCAGTCAGTGGAACGGCTAGCGCACATATAGGGAAATATAGAAATAGACCATATGTGAGTTGCATCAGACGTTCATTAATTCTATCAGCACAATTGCATTCTCCTATACATGAAAAATGTTTTGCTTTCCTAGTGGGGGAAAAGATCCCTAGGAGGGTGGCTCACAATAGAAATAAACCAGTTCGGCTGCCCTACGACAACGGCGCAGTGTTAAGAACAATATTTAAAACAAACCACCGAAGAAATAGACTCGAAATTAAGGTTGACTTATTTTTGCTAATTTTCATGCCCTTTTTTCTTCTAACATTTTGTAATTAGGCCGTACTGATTATGAGCAAGATGTGTTACGTGCCCAAGTGGTCGATATATTTAGTTGAAAGGGCTGAACATGATACGTGGCAGTTTCTATAGTTACTGTTTAGCCCTAGAATGAAATGATACTGGATATTATTCTTTATCAGATCACGTTGACGTTCGAAAGAATAATGATTCGATAAGCAAGCAAAGCTGACACTAATAGCAGATAAGGTCGCTCGACCGCCAAAAAAGTGGCGCCTGCAAATTAAGTTTTGTTGATTTTTTTTTAAGTAAATTATCATCCTTTGTTGAAAACTGAATGGGTCTTTTTGAATGTTTGTACCATTTACGTTTGTCATGAAATTTAATAGCAATTTGGTGCAAGCCCGAGTTTCTTGATGTCACTAAGTAGATCTTTTTTGCGATTTTTAAAAATGAACCAACGAGCATATACTAGATCTTGTGTGGACAATAGAGTAAATCACAGAGACACTGTAATGTAAGGAGACAAGATACTGAATAGAGCTCAAGTAAACAGGTGGTTCATGCATTTCGAAGACAGACATGAGTCAGTCGAGAATATCCTCATCCTGCATGGCGTCTAACAGTGGTCACGGAATGGAACGTGGGAGGGGTGAAGCAACCCAATGTGTTGTGAATAGCCGGGTCATCATAAGAGCCATTGAGATCTCAACTGGTTTATGTCAGGCTATTTTGACCGGCCGTTCAAACGTCAGAAGGCTTATGGCAAAGTTTATATTGAAACAGCTGAATGTCTAGTAATGACCACCCGAATAGATGTGTTAGGAAAGCTTCTGGACATTTCTAGAAGAGCCAAACTTGCCCAAACACGTCATTACGTGGGCGCGGCTACGACAAAAAAACCATGACGCAATCTTGCGAGCACCGGTTCAAAGCGCTCTTTACGATTTTTTCCGACCGTCGAGAAACTGCTCACCATGAGTTCGTGCTGTCTTGATACACAGTCATCAAGGAGCGTTAAAAAGGTCTCAAGAAAAGGGTGTCCGACGCAAGGGACGAGAACTGCGACTCCACAAGTCGTGGGAACTCTATCGAGACAATGCACAGGCCCATACTCCTCCATTCATACAGCGGTTTTTGCAAAAAACCATGTGTGTATTGCCCCGATCTTCATCTTCGCTCGACCAACACCCTTCGACGTTTTACTAATTATAAAAACTAAACGAAAGTCTGAAGAGGAAGCGTTTCGATACGATAGAAGAAATTAAAGAAAAATTGCTGTTCAAGCTAAGGACTATCCCGAACCAAAGCGTTTGAGGATCGAGGAAAGCAGTGGCACAAGGGTGTTGTACCCGGCAGAAATATCTTCAAAGGAAACAACTTAAATTGGGTCGATTAAGTAAGCACTCATCTTATTACTTATCTAGAACAAACGATTATGAAGTCTTTAGGAAAAGGCTTATTAAGTTTGATAGTTTTCATGCACAAACA